TATAAAAAACTTGTAAAACCTTATAACTTGTAAAAACCTTATAAAATAGCTTGTAAAATCTTATAATATCTTATAAATACCTTGTAAATACATTGTAAAACCTTTTAAAATACATTGTAAAACCTTATAAATACCTTGTAAAAAACCTTTAAAATACCTTGTAAATTTTTGGCGGGAAAAATTTTCCCGCCAAAAATTTAACGCCAAAAAAATTGCGGAATCACTTTTCCCACAAAAAAAATTTTTTGGCGGGAAAATTTTTTGGCGGGAAAAAGTTTGACGGGAAAATTTTACAAGGTATTTTAAAGGTTTTACAAGTTTTTACAAGTGTTTTGGCGGGAAAAATTGCGGGATCACTTTTCCCTCCAAAAAATATTTTGTATTTTGTGGACCTAATTTTGTTATATTTCCTTATATATTTGTGATATCTTTTATTAAAAGAAGGGTAATTTAGTCATTTTGTACATAAAAAGGGGTATTTTTAAAAATGGACAGCTAAAGGGGGCATTTTTGAAAATGGGTATTAAAAAAGGGGCATTTTTGTGAGTCTCCCTTAATAAAAATAGATTAATAAAAATTGACTTAGAAATGTTGTTTTGGAGTTTGTGCAATTGTTATTACGCTAATACCACACGAATTCAACTTCTCATATAATGCATTTTGTTGGCAAAATAAAATAAAATAGACAAATAAGTTTGTAAATATCCATAAACTCTAGAGTCCAAGTCTTGAAATGAAAACAAAAATGAGTATTTCATACCAAGAAAAAAAGAAGGTTTTAGAGTCTTACGTAGATGGAACAAATAACCATGAAATAAATCACTTAAACGCAATATAGTTGACGATTTGGTTTCGGAATAAAAGCTTACAATCCAATAAATCATATCATAGTCAAATTTCAATATAGTTTTTAAGTTCAATAAAATTTTTAAACTAAATAACATCCATATAAAACTAGGAAACATATAGCCATGTCAAAAACAAACAAACAAAAAACGAGAAAGCCTTACTATAGATAAGGTGGTAGACCTAGGTCAACTGGATTTATGAGAGACAACCTTGTAATATAAGTTGGTTTTAGCATATCTTTGGATTCCTCTTGATTTCTTGATTGATGTTACCGCCCACTTAAAAGCAGTTTCTTCAAGGCTGTACAATTCTTCCAAAAATACGTAGCTAGTTAAAGTTTCATTTTACTTGGTGTTGATGGTGTCTTCAGCTGAAGAGAGTCGAGAGAGGATAAGACACATTGAGGCACTGGTGAAAGTTTAATCTCCTTTATAGGCGGTCAAGTTCCTAGTAAAATAAAAACTTTTGAGAACTTTTCTTGGGATATGAATCTCAATGTAAGTACAATTAACATAGGCAAATAAAACACACTAGGATGAGCGAATCTAGATTCATGCAGCAACCAAGAAAGGCTGGTAAAAGTTCCCAAGAAGATTCGACTAACAAAGCATCCAAGCGAGACAAGTTAGAAAATGGAGGCAACGGTTATAGCATGGAATGGATGACTTGTGTATAGAACTAAAGAAAGTAATTGTACCTCTATAGTTCAAACAAATATGGTCATTTTTCAAATGTGGTCCCAATGACAATATCATGAAGCTTAGTTATATCCAATGGTTCATCATACTCGATACCAAACATAACATCAACGTTTACCTCAGTAGAGGAACCACTACTATGTATTATAAAACTTTTAGGTTGGTAATCATTAATACTCATATTCAAAACTCGGAGCATCAATTTCAAAAACCTGATCATCACACTCGAGACGCTGAGATTTTAGTATGATGTTTTTCAGTGATTGAGAACGAACACGTACGACTTTGAGATAATCATTCAGATGTGTAATCATAATTAAATCCTTAATAACCGGACATCTTGATATGAGAGTCTCCAGACTGGAATCACCACCAAACTAAACCCCTTTTAAATACATAGTATTGACACGAGGTAAAGAAACCAATTTTAATTCTGGATGATGAAAGACAACACAATAGAGAGTCAAATCCACCAAAATCGCACAAGAATAAAGCGAGAGAGGCATCCTAACTAAGGCTCTAACGTTTTTTTTAGTCGTTGGAGCCTTAGTTATGATGCCTCTCTCGCTCTATACATGTTCGACTTTGGTGGATTTGACTCTCTAATGTCTTGTCTTTGATCATCAGAATCAAAATCGGTTTCTGTACCTTGTGTCAAAAATATGTATTTAGAGGAGGCCAAGTTTGATGGCGATTTCGTTTTGGAGACTCTCTTATCGAGTTGTCTGGTTCTTGTGGATTTAACTGTGATCACTCATTCGACGATTATCTCAAAGTTTTGCGATTTCGTTCACAACCACTGGAAAGCTTCACACTAGAGTCTCAGCGTCTCGAGTGTGACGATCCCGGTGTTGAATCGATGCTCCGAGTCTTGAGTATTTGAGTATCAGTGATTACCAACCTTAAAGATTTGTAATACTTAGTATTGATCCCTGTACAGAGGTAAACGTTGATGTTGTGTTTGATGTCGAGTATGATGATCCGTTGGAGATAACTAATATCCATAATTTTACCATTAGGATATCCATATTTTACGAAGTGACCATATATGCTCGAACTCTAGAGGTACACATGAATGTTTTATTCATTAACAATAAGGTTATACAAGTTTGTAGATGGCGTTTACTTCCCTTTATTGCTAAGGCTATTCCAAGGTGGAACCGTTGCCTCGAATCGTCTTGGGATGTTTTACCAGCCTTTCGTGGTTGCAGCTTTATAAATTTACATTTGCTTGTCCTGGTGTGTTTCATTTGCCTATGTTTTATGTAATTACATTGAGATTCGTATCCCAAGAAAAAATTTCAAATTTGTTTTATGTTACTAGGAACTTGACCACCTTCCAGAGATAGATCTGATTAAATTTTCATTAGTGCCTCCATGTATTTTATCCTCTGTAGACTTTCTTCAGATGAAGACATCATCGACACCAAGTAAAATAAAAACTAGTAGCGTATTTTTGAAATACAGCCTTGAAGAAAATACTTTTAACCGGGCGGTAAGATCATAAAGAAAATCTAAAGGATTCCAAAGATATGCTAAAACCAACTTACAAGGTTGTCTCTCATAAATCTAGTTCACCTACCAATAAATCTATTTTCTCTTTTTTGTTGACATGGTTATATATTTCCTAGATTTGATATGGATGTTATTTTGTTAAAAAATTTTATTTCTCAAA